AAAATCAATAAGCTTTTGTGGAAGTGAAACAAATAATGACCAGGTCTTGTGCAAATGAATGTGTGGTAGAAAAGAAAAAACAGGGAGGTAAAGGCTTAGTGTGCAAATTAGATCTAGAAAAAGCCTATGATATGGTGGACTGGTCCTTTCTCTTAGAGTTACTAGAAAAAATTGGGTTGGGAGGAAAATGGAAAAAGTGGATCAAAGGCTGCTTCATCTCGGCTCGTTTCTCAATTCTAATAAACGGAGTGGCAAAAGACTTCTTCCCGGCCAAAAGACGACTAAGGAAAGTAGACCCTATCTCCACCTTCCTCTTCACCCTTGTTGTTGAGGTACTAAGCAAGATGATCTAGAAAACCAATTGAGAGGTTGGAGGGTAGGAAGAAATCCGGTTGTGGTGACTTATTTGCAATTTACTGATGATATAATCACTTTTTGTGAGGACTATTTGGAATCTAGCTTAAGACATTTGAAAGCCCTAGTGGACTGCTCCCAGAGAACCTCAAGTTTAAAAAAATTAATTGGGAAAAGAGTTGTGTGGCAGGTGTGAATTTGGGAGAGGAAGAGGTTTGCTTGTTAGTTGGAATTCTAGGTTGTGAGGTAAAGAACTGGCCTCTAGATTATCTTGCCATGCCTTTGGGGGGTAATCCGAGAGTAGATAACTTTTGGAAACCAATAATAGAAAGTTTTGCAAGGAAGTTATCCATGTAAAAAGGAACTACATTTCTACGAGGAGAAGAATAACCTTGATAAGATCCACACTAGCCAATTTGCCCACCTATTACCTGTCCACCTTTATAGTCTCAAAAAAAAAATGCAAGGCAACTAGAAAAATAATGAGATACTTCTTGTAGGAACTGGAAGATGAAAAGAAAGATCACCTGGTAAAATGGAAACAAGTGTGTAAAACCAAAGATCAAGGAGGACTAGGTCTAGGGGATCTCGTTAAGAGAAATACAGCTCTCCTAGGACTGGAAAAATGGCTTTGGCGGTTTCCCCAAGAAGGCAACAGATTATGGCACAAGGTCATTGATAGCATCCATGGTGTAGCAAACAACGGCTGAGATGCAAAACTAGCACCTCAAGCAGCTTCAAACTCCCCTTGGAAAGCAATTTTTGAGGTACTTCCTTCTTTTCTTAAATTTATCCAGAGTGATGTGGGATGTGGAAATAAGGTCCCTTTTTGGGAAGACCTTTGGTTGGGGGATTCACCCCTGAAACAACAATTCCCTACACTCTATGCTTTATCAGACTAACAGGCTGAAGCTGTTGCCAGGTTTGGCTCACCCTTAGAACTTGGCTTAAACTGGGACTTTGGCTTCAGAAAGGGTTTGAGGGATAATGAGTGTCATTCCTTTGTTCTCTACTTTCAAACTGGATAAGGTCTTCTTGGTTCAAAATTCCTTGGATAACAGAGTATTGTCTCCCTCTCCGGATGGCTTGTTCTCTTGTGCCTCCTCCAATATCCTCACCCTTTCAGAGCCCACAGGAGAGAACTTCCAGGTGAAAGAAATTTGGTGCAAGCCAATCCCTCCCAAAGTGTAAACTCTATGCTGGGAAGTGTTCCTTGGAAAGATTAACACCTGTGACTTGCTACAGAAAAGAAGGCCAACAAAGTGCCTTTCTCCTCATGTTTGTATCCTCTGTTTGGCTAGTGGTGAGACCCTTGCTCATTTACTGATTTCCTGCTCTTTTGTATCTTGTATTTGGAATTACTTTTCCTCACTTTTTGGATGAAGATGGAATCCTCCACAAGATGTGGTGAGACTTTTTAGACCTAATGTACTGCAGCAACAGAAAAAAGGGCAAAATGATTATGGAGGGCAACAAGAGCAGCTGTAGTTTGGACCATATGGGAAGAAAGAAATCAAAGGATTTCCCCTGAGAAGAGCATATTTAAGGAGGAGGTAATTGAAACTATAAAAATCAGATCTGTACACGGGGTAAAGACTAGGGGTAGCAATTAGGCAGGTTGGGTTGGGTTTGGTTTGTGTTGAGTTTCATCCCAACCCATCTAACCCGCTAACCCATTAATGACCCAGTTACATAAAATTAAATGGGTTGGGTTCAACCCAAACCCGCTTTAACCCAATCCAACCCGCCCAAACCCATTAATCTTATATTTATGGACTTAAAAAACAAACTCTCTCTCTTAACAAATAAGTTGGTTGTAGCTTGGTGGTTATTATTTACATAAGTGGTGAAGGTTCAAATCACATTACATGCATGTTGTTTTTACACAAGTGGCGAAGCCCTTTGACTATGTTCGGATTCTGGGTTTGACCGAACCACTTAGGTTCAAACCTGTCAGACCAACTTAAACCACTTAGGTTCAAGGGTGGTTGAACCGTTTAGATCTGGATCAATCCGATCGGACCAGACCGGTTCAGTCAATGGTGGATTGACTTGGACTGAACCATATCATGTTTGTGCACAGGGTCGGGACCGGACTGGCTGACCCGAACTGGGTCAATGCAGCTAAATCAGGTCGGGTCGTGTGGATATCGGTCGGATGGATGGTCCAGTTCGGGCAAAGCACATGGAGGCCGAATCATCCCACCCCAAAACCGTTTCGGATTCGGGTCGACCTGGATCGACTTGTACCGGGTCGGGTTAGAGTGTGTGAATATTGATTGGATCGGACAGCCCAAATCGGATAGAGTAAGCGGCACCGAACCATCCCGCCTGGGGTCTATTTCGGATTTGGGTAAACCCAGATCAGTATATGCTGGATCGCGTCAAACCGAGTTGAACTGGTCCAGACTCAAGTCAAATTGATTTGGATTTATGTTGGGTGCAGTGTATTGATTCAAGACAAAACTAAATTTAGTCAATTATTAATAGAAAATTAATGCATTAATTATAAATTATTTAATTTAAATGAAGAAAATTAAAAAAAAGGCTAAGGAATTAATACTTATGTCTATAATGGTTAACACAATGGTTATCCACAACCCAACCCAACCCATTTAAATGGGTGGGTTGGGTGATGGGTTGATCACACAACCTGCCAAGTAAATGGGGGGGTTGGGTGGGTTCAGCGGGTTGAGTTAAAAATTGCCACCCCTAGTAAAGACATTAGACATCTTCAAAGATGTTTCAACAAATGATATAATAAGAAAATGGAAGGAGGTGGTACAAATGGAAATGCATAAAGAAAGAACCAAGGTGGGTTGGAAACCGCTAGAGCCAAATAAATTGAAGTTGAACTTTGATGGCAGCTCCTTTGGAAACCCAAGGAGGGCTGGAATAGGGGGAGTTTTCAGAAATCATCTTGGAGAGATTGTGGCTTTATTCTCAGGACCAATTGGGTATAGAGACTCGGTTCAGGAAGAGACAATGGCACTCTTACAAGGTTTGAAATTAGCAGTGCATTTAGAAGCTAGAGAATTGGAAGTAGAAGGGGACTCACTGTTAGTCATTTCTTGGGCTAAGCAAGTGAGCTCAGCACCATAGAAGTACAGATTTGCATTCAGGGAGATTGAACTATAGACCAAGGACAGCAAATGAACTAGCAGACACTCTGGCAAAACAGGGAGTTGATAGGCCTTCTCTTTTTTTGGTTAAAACTGTAGCTGAACGTATTAAAATAGAGGATAGATGATCCTTGTATTCTGGCCTCTGGGGACTTTCTATACTCTATTACTCTGGAAAGTACTTGTAATCCGTTTTTAAATTAATAAAATTATCTTTCACTGATCAAAAAAAAAAAAGAACAGAAGGAGCCTCTAAAGAGGGCTTCAAGAATCAAGATCATCAGATCCACTCCACCTAAACCCAAAAAGATCTAGGACCCACTCCCAAATACCAGCCACAAACCAAGGTTCAAAATATTGATACAGGCCAATATGCCGATAGGGGCGTATGGGCCTGTATCGAGGCTCACTTGTCCCTTTTTTTCTAGTTTTTTTTTTCAATCTGGTTCAGAGGGGACAGTTTAAGGCCCGTCTACCCCCTAAACCAGGGTCTGACCCAAAATACACACTATAGGGGCATATCACGAAGCCACCAATACGTATCAAAATTTTGAACCTTGCCACAAACTAACAGGAGATAAATAGATGGATTCTCCACTTGTAAGCACAAGGAGCAAACAGAGAGGGGAGTAAACACCAAAAGTGTCCTCTTTTTTGCAGCATCACACAAGTGTTTATCTTTTGGTGATACACCCCCCAATAAAAAGCCCTTGTTTTGGGGGGCACGGGTTTACTCCAAATCTCCTTCAATAGAAATGTCTGAGAAAAGGGAGTAGGAGGGGAAAGAGTATCAGAGAAAGAAGCACAAGTGAACAAACCCGAAGGGGTGGCTCTTTTCTTTTTTTTTTTTCTTTTCTATTAAGAAGAGATAAACAAAGGAAAGAATAAAAGCATAAAAAGGTTTCTTTTTTTTTATTGTCTCTCTTACATTAAATAAAGAGAGCAGCTAAACTCATGTTCTTTTTTTCCTTCATTTTAAATATTTATCACATAAAACTATAGCCTTCTTTAGTTACTAATTTGATAAAAAATTGCTCTATTAAATACTAGTTATTTTTTAAAGGTAAGGTAGTCTTATTAGAAAAGAAAACAGATATGAAAAAAGGCAGGCTCAAACAACTGAGCCCACCCCAAACAAAGCAAACTACAACCAGTTAGACAAGTAACACAACAGTATACATAATGCATAAAATCAAAGATTATTCTTGAAAATGTTGAAATTAATATATTTGAAATAATATTGTCTTACACAATGATTTTTCATGTTTTCAGAGCAAATTTAATGTTCTTTGAATTGCTAATTTTTTCAATTAATATGCACACTGAATGGTAAACTAAACTAGGCCACTAAACAAATTTTAGTTTTTTTATTTTATAAAATTCTTATTAACTACGAATTGCTTAGGTGGTTAGGTGCCCCACTTTTGCCCAGACTTGCCTAGATGCCTTGACAACTATGTTTCCAAATACACAATGTAATGCAGAACAAAGATAACAAAGCATGCAATTGAAAGAAATACTCACATAATCTGCATCCTCCTCACCACGGAACTCCACAAACCCATACCCCTGATGGAGATTTGTCACTCTATCTTTTGGGACATAGACATTAACTGAAACACAATACATAAGGAAATATTTCAACCTTGTAATAGACAGAAAACAAATACTCAAAAGTACCTTCAATAGTTGAACATGGAGACTAGATAGAAAAAGAAAATCTTTGTTCATTTTCTTACAGTTAGCCTATAGTATTTGAGAAAATAATTTTTCTTTTTGATCAGTAACAGATGAATATGCCTTAATTGAATGTGATATCAAGACCAGAAAAATAGAAGACGAATCAGCTTCTAGGCCAAGAGAAACCAGAAACTCCCAAAAAGCAAGTGTCCAATGCAAACAAGATCACAAAATCCTTTGGGCAAGCGTACATTTTAACTCATCCATATTAACCCCTTCTGTAGCCAAGAACTCAGATAGAGAATTTTCTGATCATCTTGACCCAACTGAATGAGGGGTTGAACCTGAATGTCAAGATCCGACCTCTAATAGCATGGAGATGAATCCAAGGAATAAACAACCCTTTCCTCATCCATTCATTCATCGAGAATCTCTTTCAACTTCCAAATCTGGAAAATCCTTAGTAATGGCTAATATCAAGCCCTGAAGCAAGGAATACATATCAACCTGTATTAATGTTGCCACCCAATTGAGCCTGAGCAAACAATCAAAGTTTCACCTCTCTGGGTTCTAAATGCTCTACTCATCTCTAAACAATCAAGGTTCCCCAAACTACAGCCATCAAAGTTGGGCCTAATGTGGTTCACTTCTGGATCTGAACAAGAAGAGGAAACCAAAGTCCATAGGTTTTCCCTTTTTTTTTTTTTTGATCAGCAAAGAAACATAGGTTTTCTAAACAACAAAGCCAAATTTCATTGGTGCTAAAGCACTTGAAATTTTCAAAGGCACCATGTCAATGTGCTGCCCCTTACTGCAACAGTCTCCATTGTCAAAGACTCAAAGCTTTTGTATGAGGCTCATCTTTGACGATCTTTGTATTTTGTTTCTTCCTAAATCAACCAAAGAGTAACTACTCTCAGTTTAAGACCATAGGCAAGCCTAATGCCATACACCATCACAATATGTGCACAAAGCAGCCAACACAGACACTATAACTCTTCACATCAATCATTATAAGCCATGAAGGTTTATGAAGCAAATGTTATGAATGCCAGTCCATGCAAAGCAATTAATCAGTGTGTGTATAGAAACTATTTTCGCACAAAGCAATTCCTTATTAGCAATCCCGTGCGTAAGTCTGCACACAGGTGACATATAGCAAAGGCAACTTGTGTGCTTAAGAAATACATCAACTGTGGTACTAAACCCCACGGCCCACATGTGTTGCTGGCTGTACTAACTTGGAGTAACTAATCAACAGACTCTTGACAGAGAATATTCTTGTATCAAGTGGTCCCCCACCTCCCATGAGATCCAAAAGGCAAGCACAATAAACTGCCTAAAAAAGTCCAGAACTTTCTCCGATCCAAGGTTTCCTAAAATGTTAAGAAGTTTACAGATGTTACAACAAGACAAGCTCTGGCCTATAAATATCCTGCCTCATTAATAATCTGGGGAGAAACACACAACTGCTGTGACCCTGTGCCTGTTTCCCTAAGCTTTGATCTCCCTGTGTCCATATTCTCCATAGATTCTTCCAAGAAATACCTAATTTCAACACCTTAATGTTCCGAGTGTCAATACTATTTTTTATATATTAGATGAAAAAAAATTCAATGCTACTTTCCACTGGGCATTGCAGGAAACCCTAACTACACTCTTCCCACCATTGCAGAACAAATTCTCCCATTATCACCTTCAGATTCCAGAACCCTACAGACCACACCCTAAATATTGATTTACACTCAGAGACCTCCACATGATATGTTGGGATTGGGCTTTCTCCCTATTTGGATGTAGCTGGAATCCTCCATCAGACTTGCAGGGCCTTTTTTCCCCTTCTTTTTTCAGGTGGCGGACAAAAAGGGGAAGGACTATGTGGAGAGGACTAAGGGCTGCAGTATGTTGGACACTTTGGGAAGAAAGAAACTCCAGGATATTCTTAGAAGCTGAGAGAGGAGCAGCAGATCTGAGGGCTTTCATACATATTAGTGCGGTACAGTGGCTGAAATCTTTGGAGCTATTCATAGATTATACTGTGGATGACATGTTGAGGAAGTGGGGTGAAATTGCAAATTGCACACAGATCAAGTCAGTAATGTGTGTGGCTTGGACCCCTCCACCTGGTGAATTCTTGAAATTAAACTTTGATGGGTGTAGTAGGGGAAATCCGGGACAATCGGATTTTGGGGGTGTTTTTAGGGATGAAAATGGGGTCATTTCTGCCATTTTCTCAGGCCCAATTGGAGTGGGTGACTCCYTTAGAGCTGAGATCTTTGCAGTTATGGAAGGAGTCCGGAAAGCTAAGGAGTTGAACATCGGGAAACTCATAATTGAAGGGGATTCAGAGGTGGTGATAGGGTGGCTGAGTAAAGATCACAATGGCTTATGGAAATACAACAATGAGAGGAGGAAATTCAAATGGCTGGTGCGGGAGATGGAAGTCAAGACATGTTGGGTTAAAAGATCGGCTAATTCCCTAGCTAACGGTTTAGCTAAACAAGGGGCAGAAAGGGATTCACTGTTTTGGGCTAAGCTGTAACTTTAGTGTTTTTTTTCTTTTTTTCCTTTTCTTGAGGTTCTTTGTTGCTCTTGGAAGATAAGTGTGTTTGTCTTCCTCTTGTAAATCTTCTATTGATGATTTAATGAAAGTGTTATTGATCAATAAAAAAAAAAAAGATATGTGGTACAGCTCTTACATGAACTTTGCCTTTGAAGATCAAATTGCATTTCTTTCCAAAACAACCAAATAGTAACCATTCTCAAAGACCTCAACATGATCTTCCCTCATTTCCCAAGAAGACAAAGAATGAGAGCATGAAAAGTTTGTTAACGTCAGCGAGACACATCCACTTAACTCCAAAAAGAAAGAAGAAAAGTTTCCAAATAAAAAGGCAGGAAATTAGAAAATTTAGTGGTTTCACAAGCATTCTTACAAGGAATACATCCATGGGAAGAAAGGGTAATAGTTGGTTTCCTGTTTTGAAGGGCCTATCAAGTATTAGTTTTTTTGTTTTTTCTTTTCCATTGATGCCTAACAATTACTAGTTAAAGAATGAAATACCATTCAACAGAGGCCCTTAATTTGATTGGAGTTCTAAATGACCCAATAGTTGAGATGGTCCCTTAATGTCCCTCTGAATATGGAGGCACGGATCAAACTCACATAATTGTAGGCTCTCTATGGTATGGTCAGTGAACCTCACATGCACCCTTCTCCATCTTGTACCCGTCTAATCCCCCTATAAAGTATATTATGTAATACCAAAAAATAGGGGTGCAACTTGGGCGGGCCCAACCCAGCCCACAATTTTACTCAAGATGGGCTTGGATTTAGAGCTGTAATGTGGCCTGGCCAGTGGTGGGCCAGCACGGCCCAACATGACAGGGGCCATGCTAGGCATGGCCCAACATGACAGGGCCGTGCCTAGCACGGCACAGCCACTGCAATACAGTGTTGTATCATGTCGAACCTAGGATGCAGAGCGAATCAGATGTCCAAAGCACAGCTCAGTCAAAAACTACAGCCCGAAACGGCCCATAGGCAAGGCATGGCATGTGTGCGGCTCGCAAACGAATATAGCCATTGGAGGGGTCCATAGGCTATATTTGCTTTTTGTGGGGGGCTATTTTGACTAAAATACTCCCCAACAGCTATAAATCGCCACTAAGGGGGTATTTTTGTATTTTGGATCATGAGGAGGCAAAAAATTACTTAAATGCCCCCTAACAGTTATATAACAGCTAGTTTAGGGAGTAATTAAGCCAAATAACAATAACCCCTAAAAATGACCAAAATATCCCTCCAGACAATCATAAACAGCTAGTGTGGGAAGGTATTTTGGTCAAATTAATCCCCCCAATTTCTATAAATACCCCTACCCTATTATGGGCCCGAGCGTAGGATCGCGTCACGGGTCGCTCCACCGCAGGAACCTCAGACCTTTCCTTGCCCTTGGCCTTGCGTACAGGCCCTACTTTGACTAACTCACAGGTGATTTGTCCAAGAGATCACCTAACTCTCCTTTACTCTCTTTCTTGACTGAATATTCGATATCTTCATTCAATAATGGTGTCTCCTTAAATAGGAGATTACAAGAGGAGGGTTCCTTGTTGGATTCGGCTAGGTTAGTCCTAAACGGACTCAAACTCCTACTTCTAATTAGACTACTT